AGTTTATTTTTTAGTTTATTATACATGGATGAATCCATATAAATATGGTAAATGAATTATTGAAGTCAACTATACTTTGAATCAAATGTGTTACGAGATGTGTTTGGAATGAGGTTAAACATTGGTTGAATTTTAAGAAGATCTGAACACACTACTTAGGTCTGTCAAAATGTTTCTAAAGCAATAAAGGAGCAAGGCTCGTTCAATTTTGCTCGGTTAATTTTGTGTTGTTCATTGTACTTTATTTGGAAGCCAGGAATTGATTTATTTTTACTAAGAAAATGATTACTATCCATGGCCTTGTTTGCAGATTAAATTATTTGTTTATCGAATCTGATGTATCCCACAAAAATGATTGATTTATTTTATCTTGGGCATTTTCTTTTATGTTCTAGATGACTTTTGTGTACTTGGGTAGATGTTTAGTTTGCTGAGCAATGTAATGTGTTGTTTGAGATTGAAGTATATACTCTTTTATGATGTACATATCAGTACATTGATATAGGTTTATTACATGTTTGTTGAAATGCTTGGATAAAAAAATTCCATTCAATTGACTGTTTTATTTGATAAGTATCAATTGACTATTTGAACATTTTTTTTTGTTTTGCAGTTTGAACCATTGAAGGAATTTCTCTTGGTTGCAAAAGTCATTGCTAGTTGCTTCATTTCGATTTGCAGAGTTGGATAAGAGATAATTACAATGTTGTTCTATTAATTTTTGTAGTTAGTTAAATTGTAAAGTTAATGTTCTTGTAATTACAATGATAGTATAGTTGGGGTTGCTTGTGTTTTCAAAGTTTATCTTCTGTATTATGAAAATGAGTTTGAATGTTGTCAAAGAAATTAGCCTAATGCTTTTTAGCTTGAGATGATGGTTCTAAAAAAAATTGAATGTTTATGATAATTGTTCACGAACAAAATAATTAGCCTAATGCTTTTTAACAATTGACTATTTTATACACACAGATAATAACTACGCACCATATTTAAACCATGCACAGACAAGTTAAATGAACACACAAACAATTATTTTATACGCATAGACGAAATAAATGAACACATACAATATTTTAATCATGCACAGACAATATAAACAACGTCCTAATTATTTTGTTTGTGAGCTTCATAGATATTCTACTCAAAGTCCTAATAAGATAACACGTGTTCTCTTTTAACTACTTTACAATATTTTCTACACTTTCATAATTCCTATCAATTTTCTCCAAATCTAATTATTAGATTCAATGCAAATCACTAGGAATCTTGTACAATGGTTAAACACAGCAATAGCACACATTCCAGAAACTAAAACATAAACCACCATTTAAACTATCATCTTATTTTTTGGCTGATTTTAGCCTATTGAAATAGAGCAGATAAATTACGAAATAATATTGGAGAGGAAAAGATTTTCTTTGTATTTTATTGAAGGGTCAAGGCTCTATATATATAGATTACAAAGATGGAATATTCCTATATAAGATGCTATACACTAATAATATCTAGAGTATATTTCTAAAACACATTCTTATTATTAATATTATTATAATTTAATATCTTTCACATGCCTCTCATCTTCATGTCTAGCTTCTTTTGGAGCTTCCCATTGACTTCTTAGTGGCAAGGTTGTCCTTGTGACAGTAAATGACATATAAAATTATATATGCTGCTCCAATCAACACCAAAATCTGTCATATAAAGCCAAAAAATTATATTAGTACATATATACCAAAGATTATCTGTCAAGCAATGACTAACTTGCCAAGAAATGCTTATGCCACAACAGCACAACTCACTATGGCTGGACTATCCAGTCCTACTTCCACAACATTTCTCTCCACCATAGTGATAAATGAAGCTAGTTATATGATCCATTCAAATCTCTTCCTACTTAATATTCTTATAATGTCATAAAATTGTTCCTTCATTTAAAAAACTTGAATGACCCAGCTCTATCAATGTTTCACTTCAACCCTTATTGATATATGATATGCCATTTCTACACTACTTGTAACCCATTTGATAGCCAAAAGTGGCTTATTCTAATTTGCAAAATAAGCGACATACACAACTTTTGTCTTGTTTGGATGAAATGAACTTTACCAAATGATTTTCCTTTCAAAAACATTAAGAGATTCGTGCATATAAGCCAAATAATCTTACTAGAATAGTTATAATAGGTGAAAAGCTAAAACAACACCTAGGAGCCTAATCTCATCTTCAACACATTTAGGAGAGCCTGGTCTACCTATAAAGACTATAAGTGAATGCCCTTAAGGCTGGTCTTGGAGGATTTTTAGAATAATGGTGACACAAAAGGTAGCATGATGGGATAAATAACAAGGTTTTCCAAATAGTCATTGCGAAAACTCACATTCCAAAGTAACCAATTCGAAGGATTCAAATCACAGGTTACATGCTCCACCAATTTCATTCCTGAACTTGAGTGTGCTCCCAATCAAAGAGAGGTAGAGGAGCACATATTTCAAGCATCCATTATCCATAGAAACAACCTCCAAGAGGTGAGACTAGTCAAAAGTCTAGTGAAAACAAGAAAATTAGAATCTTGAACTAATTAACAATAAAAGAGTAAGAGTTTTGGATTCAAACAAAAAAACATCATTGAGTCATTTCAACAAACATTTTATGAGCATAAATGTGAAATAGAAAAATTGAACTAAAATTTCATTTACTAACACTACATTCTCTTACAACAATACAAAGCACTCAACTATTAAGTGTTATACCATACATAATATACAAAAAATCCGAAATTTTAAATAAATAAAACCCTAAAATCAGAAAAAATCAAAATAGATTATTACCTCAATATTAAGGGCAGGTTGATTGGTGTTTCTTGTTCGAGCGGATAATACAAAACATTCACTTACTCAATATTATACCATACATTATACACAAATAATCAGAAATTTTAAATAAACAAAACCCTAAAGTGTATATAGAAAAATCGAATAAATTATAACCTCAATTTACTAGTTGAGCGGAACTTCTTTTACGAGCGGACCGTTTCATCCTTGCCGTCTGCACCGATTCCAGTGGCAACCACATGGCTGATGGGAGAAACGAACAAATGAAATGGGGACGGAGGAGAAACAAGAAAGAGAGGAGAGGGCGTGAGATGGCGTAGGAGGAGGGATGTGAGAGAAGGGGTGATAAGAGAGAGTTTTGTTTGGGGTACACACTTTTTGTGTACACACTTTTTACACATGCATGTGTAAGATTTTTTTTGTTTGTACAGACAAAACGTATTTGACAAAATACGTATTTGACAAAATACGTTTTGTCTGTACAGACAAAAGAAAAACCTTACACAGACATGTGTAAAAAGTGTGTACACAAAAAAGTGTGTACCTTTAGAATTTTTCACTGCTTGAAGGAGAATTTAAAATATGTTTGACGTATGACAATTAAATATACAATTGAATTATACTTCCTCCGTTCTTAAATAAGTGCAACAGTCAATATTTCACATTTGCTGAGACACAGCTTTGACCAATAATATATAGAATTCTCTATTGGTAAAAAAAATTAAAAATCGGATTTTGAAAATTTACAATGTGACAAATTTAAAAAAAATATTAATACATCAATAAATAAAATGAAGTCAAAGTAGAATGTGTGAATAGTGTAAAATTCAACATGTTGCACTTATTTAAGAACGGGGGTAGTATGTTTGTGTATGTCTGGCCAACTAATACTAGTTTTATTATTATTAATTGATACATGTTTAATTAATACATGTTTAATTTATTATATTTCTGGTCATTTCAGGGGAAAATACAAAAACACGTGTTCTATTAAATCATTGTAACAACAAGATATACAATGCACTTACCAATTAGTTTCATGAGAAACTCATAACCTAGCAGCTAGCTTTCTATTTTCTATAAAATACTCCGCAAGTGATACTGGGTATATATATTCCTCAAATTTATAGCTGGTTCTCAAACTCCATTTACTTTCTCAAGCCTTTATAAATTGATCAATGAAGTCAAATCACATTGTAATGAGATGTTTAATTAATTGAAATATAAAAACTGTTTTTCTTTAAAGCATTCTTTATGTGTGTGTTTTATGTATACGTGTGTCTATAAAGAAATTAAAGCTCTATTGATGCAATTCGTATTCAACTTTGATTTTCAGACACACGATTACATGAGAAATAAAACTTACATAAGAACTAGAAATATAAGACAGAAATCCCAGTGGTTGTAGGGTTGAAATTTTTCGTCGTCCCTATCAATGTGGGATTGGAGCGGCAGATTATACTGATTCTAAGTGTTCTAACGCTTAGGATCGCAACTACGTCAAAGGAGATAGCGTTGGCGGATGAACGAAGTGCGGCTGAGAGGTTGTATCGAGACTGGATCGTGAAGCCTTGGTCAGCCATTTCGGCGGTGGTGGAGTTAGTATTCACCCATATTGTAAGAGTTCGTCCTCCTCTGGAACCACCTCCACACCAGGGAATGCTTTGTGGAAAGATTTTATTTCAGTATTATATTCTCTTTACTAGCAATTGTTTTCGTTTCAGTCCGAGTAGAATTGGTTTGAATTTTTGGAGTTCTTTTGATAGACATAGTTTCGGTTCCATTCGATTTAGGCTTAAATTTGCCCGTTTCAGGTTTAGCGAGTCATGTTGTTTTGTATGAGGTGGCTGTCTCTAAGTCTACTCCTAGGATTCACGATTGGATCTGTAATTTCTGTCTAAAGATTTTCTTGTATGTGTTCTTGATTTTAATATAACGGCCGCTCTTGTATGATAAAAAAGAAGGGAAATTACCCAAAATAGGAGCAAATGATACTTGGAATTCCAAAAATAGAACTAGTATGTTTTTCTTCTCGAAAAAGGAGTTATTACTGTCATCTATGAAAAATATTGCCATGATTGAAAAATAATGTCATTAATTATAATAAATACTGTCATATTAAATGCACTGTACTGCAACTATTTGGCAGTCACGACTACAAGATGACAGTAGTCGTGAATAAAAACAAAGTAATCATATTTTTGAATTTCAAACTTTATTTACTCCTATTTTGGGAAATCTCGCGAAAAAGAACTACAAATATAAAACTATATGAAGTGCTAAACTAATCTATCAATTACAAGATGGATCAACTAAAGAGCGAATGTAGAAAGAGATGAAGGCGGTAAATAAGGATAATGAGCTATAAAATCACGATCATGGATGAGTGCATCCCACTCGGTGATAACTGGACGTCCATGATATGGTAGGGATTGGACGGCTTTGGTGTCCAGGTCGTAAAGAAATACCCTCCCTTCATTTTCCATCCGGATTAGGGCAACCGGAGTCTTCTTATTATTCACAGGAACCAAGCCATTCCAAAATATCTCCGCTCTCCGCCCTATCCAGCTAGATGAAGACAGTAAGGCCGTGTTATTCCCCCGGAGCGATTCAACGGTGATATTGTACACTGAAACCCACTCTTGACTGCCTTTTGGGAGCATGAAAACTCTCATGGATTCTCTAAAAACAAGGCCGAACCATAAAACGTCACCATTTTCAATGGGTGATCTTGTAAGAGCACCGGAGCAGACTGAGCCGTTATTTCCAAATCCATCGTAGCTCCGGTAATCTAAGACCGCCGGGGCTTCACCGTGGGGGCGGTAAAGTGCTAGCGTTAATGTGCCCGTATTGCTCGAGTAATCGTACCAGTGGAAAACACCATTCATCACTAAAGGATGACGTCGGAACACAGTATGGAACATAATGTCAGCGGCGGCGGCGGCGGCGATCGCCGGCAGTCTGGCTGCGACCCAGACCCTTGTCTCGGAAGAGTAAGTCACAATCGGGAAAGTAGCCTTTTCGCTTTCGCTGAGGACAGGACAATCAGTTAGGACGACGATGTACTTGGCTGACAGTTGGCTTTTGTTCTCTTCGCACATCAACCCGACGGATCTTTCTGAACGCCAGGACGGCGGCTGCGGCGGCGGCGGCAAGGAGACCGACCTTTTTGTAACAGGGTTCAAAACGAGGTACTCGTACTCGTGCTGGTCATACCGACGAGATTTGCATAGAATCAAACCGTTGGAGCTATTTATGAATCTGACTGGTTCTGGAGACATGCCGCTGACTTCAAGATCTAGAGAATGGTATTCAACCAATTTCTTGCGCTCCTTTGGTTGGGAGAAACTGCAGGGGCAATTCATATCTTTGGATAATGATAACAAACCTACACCGTCCGGCCGCCGTTGCCGGCTGTCGTATTTCTTGATGAAATAGGGATGAGAAATCAACTCGTTCCATGATTTTGATACGGCCCGGAATCTGTAAACCGATTTCGGCGGCAGACAGACTAGAATTTCTGCAAGTATTTGATCATTCATGTCTTAAACAGGGGATGTTAGAAAATACGTGGTATGTATGATGTTAATTACTGTAATAGTTAGTCGTGTATATATAAGGGCAGTGAAGATAGCTTCCGAAGATGATATAACCTTCCAAATATACCTAACTCCTTATGCTAGGAGGAAAGAATTTTACATTCGTAATTTCTGGTTAAAATAATGACAGATACGGAGTAATAATAATAATAATAATAATAATAATAATAATAATAATGACAAAGTTAAAATTAATGGAATATATTAGGAGTGTGAGGAAACTAGAAGTTTCACACTACTAGGCTTTTAAACATGTCATTTTTTTTCAAACTTAGCAGATTACTCCTATTCAAGAAATAAAAAACATGATATCCTATTCTGGAATTTCAAAGCGTTTTTACTCCTATTTTGGGCAATTTCTATTTATCTTAGGATGTTTTTACTTGGACCGTTTTAAGTCCCAAAGCAGGCGAGACTTAAAAAGATCAAACCAGATCAACTCAGATTTCCATAGTTATAAAATACACAGAGACCTGACTTTATCAGACCAGACCAACAAATTTCAGTCCAAGTAAAAACATTCTTAGTCAATACAATTTTAATTTATAATCTGATTTAATATGTCAAAATTTTATTTTGTCCAAATTTAAATTTTGCGACTTTATTAAACTCTCAAAGTAGTTTCTTAAAACTGATTTAAATATCCACAAACATGATTAAACTTTATTGTTATTTAATCTTATATTTCGCAAATTGCAACTCAATTCAGGGCGAAAAAAGTCATAATTGAGTAATTATAATTGTATTCAATTTTACAATGTAATGATAATGACTGTATACTCTTCGTAATTCTGATTGTATTTTTGTTCATATAATTTATTCCAGCAATATTTAAGGATAACCATTATTTTCCTAGAAATTGTTCTAAATAGGAACAAAAACGTTTTGAAATTCTAAAATAGGAGTGTTGGGATATTGATCCAGAGGCCCAATACCCGGATAAAAAAGGCCCAGGATACCCGGCCCAAAACAGCGGGTCCTTTACTCTATGAAGAGCAGGCCCAGTGAAGAATCCATATCGAACGGGGTTCGGTCCAAGTAAAGGCCGGCCCAGAAAGAAGATATACCGAACGGAGTTCGGACCATATATCATACTTTGGCCAATTTGGCAGCGTCTCCAGCATGGTCCAACATCCCGTTCGAGCGACGGACAACCAGCAAGTGGTCAGGTGCAATTAATGCCAGATTGTGACATCAGCAAGTGGAAACATGGGTGATCAAGTCGGTGGAACAACGGTCAATCAGCATAGAGCAGCCCATGCTCTCCATTAGTATAAATAGAAGGTTTAATATCATTGTAAGGGTTAGCATTTCAATACTCAAGCTCTAGAATAGCATTATTACTCTTGTTTCCTGTATTAAAGCACTGTTCCGACCTACCGATCGGGAAGTTTCCTTGTAATCAGACAGGTTAATTAATACAAGTGGGCTTTTGGGTATTATTGAATTCGTATTTTATATTTTATTAGACACTTTGATTCTGGTCCATTCCTGATATATCCAAAGTTCGTGTTGGGCTTTTGGATCTACGGGACTTACCTTCAACAAGGAGTATCATGTTTTTTATTCCCTGAATAGGAGTAATCTGCCAAGTTTGGAAAAAATGCCATGTTTTAATGCGTAGTAATGCCAAACTTCGCAGAAAATTACTCATATTCAAGGAATAAAAAACATGATATTTCTATTTAGGAATTTCAAAACTTTTTTACTCCTATTTAGGGAATTCTCTCTATATTTCCTCAATTTTTATATACATGTGGGCATCGATAATTAGTGGACCATTTGTTCATAAATCAATTGGGCCTTCGAGATAACCATGATGGCTTGTTATTGTCATTGAGACTATTAGTCGTATGATTAGGCAACTCGATCAAGATTGTATTTTTTTGAAAGGATCAAGATTCTATTTAGAACTCGGGTTATTATTATTATTATTATTATTATTATTATTATTATTATTATTATTATTATTCCTATTAGAACACTTCTAAACAGATCATAAATAGCTGTTCTTTCCGAATATGATCAGGAAACAGGAAACTCTTTATCCTTCAAGAGGCCACCGGAATGATAATTATGGATTTTTTATAAGTTGTATAGCTGCATCAGGGCTTGTTTGTTCGGGAACTTTGGGTTGGAAACAAGCTTAGGGAAGTTATTAATGGAATTGAAAGAATATTAAGTTTGAATTCTACAATTTAGCGTTAAGACCCGGAGTTGTATATCTAGAAGGACTGAAGGAGTACCCCAAAGTCTAATAGTGTTTAATTGTTTTATAGTTTTTTGGTGTGGGACAAATATAATACATACTTTAGATATTTTTTTGGACCAGATTTGTACATTAAATAGTTCAGAAGAAATTAAAGAAATGCTATCGTATTATATATACTATCGTACTACGTATATAAAGAAGTGAAGTTAAGCTAGTGGCTAATAAATTGGGAATGAAGTAATAATGAATTAAATTAGAATAAGTAAGGATGAATATAGTAAAAATGAATTAGAATCATACAATTATTATTACTAAATATTTCCTCCGTCCCGTAAATAAGTTCTCATTTTCAGTTTACGATGTTTGACTGACGATAGAGCAAATCGATATGTATCAATACTCAGATCATTTTTAGTAAATAAAATTTACATATTCATAAAGTACATTAAAATTTCTATAGAGTCTCAAAAAGCAAATAAAAGTTGGATATATGAAATAAAAGATTAAGAGTGATTTAATTTGAACAAAAACTTCATTTTGGGACACGGGTAGTATATATTGTATGCATAACATAAAATTAGTGAAACCGGTGAAAATAAAAATGTAACATGACAAAGAGAGTAATTAATTACTCCGTAGGATTTAGCATATGCATCGATCCATCATTTTGCTTTTTCTAAAGCATTTGGTAATGTTTCCTCCATCCCAAATTGATTTATTAAGTTTTTTTTTGTGAATAATGTTCTTTTAAAATTTGATTTTATTTACTTATGTAGGGTATTGATTTTTTATCATATTACGATTTGGACTTTGAATAGATGCTTTGTAGAACCTCCAATATAATTTCAAAATATGTAAGTTTTAATTATTAAATTGAAATTAATTTAACTATATAGAAGAACCATTTAACTCATCATCGGCCAACTTTAGAAATCACAAATTGCATGTAAATAACAATCAAATTTGAGAATATGCATAAATGTTGTCATTAATTATTAGAATTGTCGTCAATTATTGCGGTAATCCCATGCCAATTCATGAAGGGATCATCCCAAAGCAACCATACATGGGTTAACTACAACATTCATCTTGTCGTCAATTTGATTTTTCATTTTGTATCTTTTCACTTTTAATTGTTTTTTATTTTGCGTTGTTATAGTAATTGCACATTTATGTTGCAATCCCGTATTTTCTTAGTTAGTTGTAATTTATTTAGATTAGGTTGTTCTGAGCAAGAATGAATTGAGGGTCAACCAAAAGATCATAAATGAACCCCAAAAGAGCAAAGAATGTGCAAGAAGACAAAACAAAAGAAGAAAATCCTGATTAGATCATATACCCGATCGGATATGGACTTGACTCGACTATCAAATCGAATCTGGAGAACAATTAAACGTGCATGGATATTTTTATCAAGAATTACTATTAGACCCGATCGAATGTACCGACATACCTGATCTAGTATGATATCATTTCTTCCTTTAGAAGTACCCGAGCCAATATGTCTCGAGGGTATTTATGATTCACTGTGAGATGAGGGATAAAGGGCAAATAATATCATATCACACTTCTTTGATCGAATGGAACTTCTTTTCTGAAAAAGAAATGACAATAAAACTTTAGGATATTTTGTAAATGACAAGAAACTTCTTTAATTTCTTTTTAAAATTTATGCTATAATTTGACGTTTGGCAAGATGCGAAATAATTACTTTTCAATACGATTATATGAAATATATGGATGTATAGACTTTGCATCGTTTTATTTAATTACTTAGTATTATATATTGTTGGATTTGATTACTTAATGGTAATATAATTGCCATGCACTTGATTTAAATTAAACATTTCACATTAAATATTTTTATTATGTAGGGGATTGTAGAATATCTTGCATGCTTTTATAAGCTATTATGCTTATATAAGAGCTTTGCGTGTAATTTAAAGATAAACTACACACCTAACTGGATGCTTTTTATTTTTATTTTATATGTCAAGTGATTATTTCTCAAAATTTTACATGTAATCGTTTTTTGTGCAAAGATTTCACGTGCAAATTACCAAATGAGCCGTAAATGAGTATGGACTCTAGAAGCAAATTAAATTTTAAAATTTATTTTATCATATATGTAATTTTTTCTCTTGAATTGCAATTGTATGATAATCAAAATACAAAATTTTTGTTTCATAAGGTAAGTGGATGATTAAATGCTCACTCACATCAAAGAATCTCGGCGGAAGAATTTTTCCCATGTTGCAAAGAAGTACAACGACAGTCCTTTCTAATCGTCGAAGAATTTCGACATCCACAACTCGTGTGCATAGAGTTTGAAAAAATTGACTTAATTCAACAACTAACTGCCACACTGTACCGGGTAGAATGTCCCGAAATGCAATTCGAATTAGGCGTTGCATGAAAACATGACAATCGTGGCTCTTCATGTGTATTAAACTTAAACCATCTGCACTAATGCATCTTCGAAAATTTGATGTGTACCCATCCGGGAATCTTATTGAAGCAACCCAAGCTAGGATGATCTTTTTTTGGGCAGTGGTTACAGTGTACACAACCTTACTGATTTTGCCAACGTAATCCATTGGAACTCCAATACCAGGCCGATCACAATACAATGCAACATCTTTTCTAGCTTTCAAATTGTCTTTTGTTCTTTCTTTGTCGTTCATTAGAGTATAAAATAAAATGTCAAACACATTCTTTTCAATGTGCATAACATCTAAATTATGTCTAACTAATAAACTTCCCCAATATGGAAGTTGCCAAAATATGCTCTTTTTTGTCCATTTGTGATCAATGCCATAACCAGGGGGTAGTTCATTGGGATCCTG